GCTATGATTACTCTTTTCTCAACTCATAGCTTCATTACTTCTCCTTTCTAACCTTTAGTCCTTCTTAGGTGAGGTTTTGAAGTTTGCTCAAGCTTGGTAGCATTATTTGATTCTTAGCTATCCTTACTAGTCACTCAAGGTGAGTTCTCTCACCCCCGTTGTATTGATGATTGTGTTTTTCTAGTTAGCTTGTGTGTGATTATTTGAATTTATTATAAAAGCATGCTATATAAGTATTGTTTTAATTTGTACATGTGCACTGTATGTAACTAATCATGGATATGGGGACACCACCAAATGATACAGATTTACCGGTGTGGTGGGTATGTAAGATCACCAACGTAATACTCATTGTGAGGTGCAGTGATTAGGGCCAAGTGATACGGGATCTTCTCGGTGCGGTTCAAACCTACAAGTCCTTCTTGTATTATTGGCGTTGATTCGTTCTTTGCCCTTATTATAAACCTATAATTGGAAAATGGATTAGGGTTAGTAAATATGAATGTTAGTACAATGTCTGTGTTTGAATTCACTAAGCTTTGTGCTTACGGTTTCCCTTATAACTTTTCAGGTGTTAGGATTAAAGAGGCTAGGGCTTGACATGGAGCACCGGGACATCACTACTAGTTATTTTTGTTGGGACCTTATTATTATTATTACTTCCGCACTTATTTTATAAGATTATTAAGTAGATGGATTATATTATGACTATTTCGGTTGTTTTAATTTAATGTAAGACGGGTTTTAAAAGTTTAAAATTTTTGCAAAAATTTGGGTGTCACATAACATATATCGTAATTAAATCTAATTAATAAACGACCCCCAAAGATGTTAGGCTAAACCCACTACTAATTCTCAGAATGATAAAAGACGATTTTACCCTTTCCTGGCCTCTAAAGTCTAAGGTTTGGCCAAACGTTAAAAGTCAACAGAAAGCGCGTATGCTAGACATACAACCCTTTACGTTGGGCGCACTACTTCGTCATGCATGCATAGGGAAACTTCGAGTCTACGCTCAGTGTACATCCCAGACTTACTTTTCCCACTTTCTTGCTCATAATCTGTTAAGACCATAGCTATAATATCAGATTTTGGACTCTCTAAAGGATAATACTCCATAAATGTAACGACCCAATTTTCACGTCTAAAAATTTCGTTTTAAAACATCACTTTAGGAAAACATTAATAATTAAAAACATTGTTTGATCAACCACATCACATCGTAATCCATGTCTAAAAGCCAAATCATACAACCAATCAAAATATCAGAGTATAAATCCCAGGGAAATCTAGATGATGCGGAAACCAATCATGTGTGCATGATGTCCTGCTACCGTGCCAGCTCCTTCCCCTTCGATGAAGAGGTACCTGAAACCAAAATTGTAAACTGTAAGCACAAAGCTTAGTGAGTTCCCCCATTGTACCACATACCATACAATCACATAACATACATAAATTGTCAGGCATATCTGGGTGCCCGACCTACCCCTTCGGTCCTCTCGAACGGATACTGCCTAACATATCTAGGTGCTGGCCTCCCCTTCGGTCCTCTCGACCGGATACTGCCTAGCATATCTGGGTGCTGCCCCACCTTCGGTCCTCTCGACTGGGTACCGGGGACTATTTCTCCACCTACTACTACCACATAACACATATATCACATAGTCTATCTAGCATGGCTGGGCATGACTACCCCTTCGGCCCTATCGACCGGTAACCTGGGGACTATCTCCCCTACTATCACTAGCACATAGCATCATATCATACAAACACATAAACATAACACAGGTAGTAGCAACCCTAGATGAATATCACAGAGACAATCATCTAATCATACATTTCCTACTGGTGGGTCGGCATTGTGGCCTTAGACCCACCGCTACTGGAAGGTAACTCACCTCGTAGTAGCTGCTGATCTGTGTGGGAATAGTCTGTCTGCTGCTGCTGCTCCGGAAATCCTCCGGCTGAAATTGCCACCAAACACTTAGTCAAATACTACTAATTGTCCTTTGGGTAAAATGACCATTCTACCCCTGATCATGCCCTAAGTCACAGTCAGAGTCAACTTCCAGTTGACCCGACTCACCGAGTTGGCTCTCCAACTCGTCGAGTCCAGGTCCAAGCGACTGACCTGGATTCTGTTTCTACTCGTCGAGCTAGGCGTTAACTCGACGAGTTCTCCATCCAAACTGATGTTCAAGTCCTTCATCCTACTCGCCGAGTTGTATGAACAACTCGGCGAGTTCATCTTCATCCGATGAACACTTATGCTGAGACTCGCCGAGTCGTTTGAACAACTCGCCGAGTCTGATCTTGATCTAAGGAGATTGCTTTGAACTCACCGAGTCTGGGCATCGACTCGCCGAGTTCCATTATGGGTGAGTTTTGGCTTCCAACTCACCGAGCCCACCCTGGACTCACCACACAACTCGACATAGCTAAAAGGGGACAAACTCAGAGACTCGCGACTAGACTCCCCGAGTCCGATGAGCGACTCGCTGAGTCAATTTCATGCAAGAGCCAAAAACGCGATTTTGCTCGAATCCAGTCCATGCCATTCGTAGATCTGGGCTCCTAGAGCATGAATAACACGTAAAGTTTTCAACTTTACGTGTAAATATCCATCTATGGGGTTTTTCGGGTTCAAAATGCACCAAAAGAGTAGATCTAAGGTTTTCATGCAATATGGGCTCATAAAGGTAGTACATCTGAGCTCCTGGAGCTCAACCATGCTTAGATCTAGAGGCCAATCAACTTATTTCGAAATATGATGCACATACAAGCTTGGAAAATGAGTCATGAAGGACTTTAATGGGGCCATAAGCATGAAGACAAGGGGAAAACGAGCCATACCTTAGTGAACACTCTGAAATAGCTCACAAGTGCTTGACCTCCTCTTCTTCTTCTTGATCTCCTTTCCTACTCACTCCAATCTTCAAGAGGACACACCAAATGGCTTCAAATCCACAAAATAAGGCTTAGAACAAGGTGTATGGCTCTGAGGGTGAATGGGGGCTGGCTTGGGGGCGGAAAGGTGGGGTTAAATAAGGTGCAAACCCCTGAAACTTAGGGTTTCATCCAACAGCGGTGACTCGCCGAGTCCAGGATATGGACTCGCCGAGTTGCCAACTTAAACGTGTCCCGGGTCCCGTCCCTACTCGGCGAGTCGAACCTATGACTCGCCGAGTCCAAGGCTTAAAATGGAAAATACTCAAATAAGATTTACGTACCAGGAACCAGGTGCTACAATAAAGTTTGTGACTTTAAGCCTTTTCATGGCTGAGAAAGTCTAAAACTCATAACTCTCACTCCTTACTCATAAATGTTCTCATATATCATGAATGGGGAGATCTTGACGTTCAAGATCCAATTTTATGAGTCCACTCCAGTAGAGACACTTAAGGGGACATGCATTAGGCTCTGGAGTTCAACAAACTCATAAATCTTCAAGCTTTGGGACACAAACCCTAAAATAAACCACAATATGCACAAATCAAAACAATGAGAAAGCTTTAAGTTTGACACCTCCAAATGATGCACCAACCATAGGGAAACTCATATCCAAAGCTTGGGTACCAACTCTACTCTCTTCATAGTTCCTTCTTCACCCAAAGAATCCCACAAAGAACAATAAAAAGCTTCAAATGGCCACTCAAGCTAAGAAAACATAAATTAGGGTTTTAAGGGGAGTTGAAGATTGGAAATGGTGGCTAAAAATGGAGCCATCATGTTCCTTAAATAGGGACACACAACAAATTAGGGTTTCTATAGTATGCCCAACGTACCAGAGTACACCCAACGTACACGTCCAAATCATGGACATGAGTACACTGAGTGTACACATGCATACGCCCTACGTACTCAGATACCACCTTTTCTCAAATAAGGGCCAAACTTGACAACTGCAATAAAGTAAGGGCTATTGAGATATACCTAGTCTCGAGATGTTACACCAAAAATTCTAGCCGCATTTCTGAAAATCCAACAATAAGTTCGTGACTATTATTGAAATTAGGTTTTACCGTTTATATTTTTTATGTTTAATTTTCTATGGTTTTGAAGTCATTTAGGTTTAAATTTCTATTGTTTTATGTTTTTTTTAGTAATTTAGGTTTGAAATTTTATGTTCTTATATATTTTTTTAGTAATTTAAGTTATGTAATGTGTTTTTATGTAGTGTGAAATTATTAATTATGTTTTTTATTCAATCTTAATATAAAAAAATAAATAAACAAACAATATAGAGTGACAACAATTTTCAAAGACTAGTGAACATGTACTGGAGGTGATGTGATGTATAGATGCCATCACTTTTCTAATAATCATTTTCAATGATTAGTGAACATGTAATGGAGCCTTGTTAACATGACTCGGGCTTGGTGCGCTAGCAAGTTTGTACAAGTAGACACACTCAATCTATGGGCTGCGAGTTTTTCGTTAACCCTATTGGTAAACACTTTTGTAAGACCGGAGGGTATGGGTATGAAGTTTCCCTCACATTTTGTGGGCGACACCACCATTTTCCTCACTTTCCTTTCCCTCACCTAAACCCAAGGAATAGGCAGGGAAGCATCATTCACTATTTTTTTTTTTTTTTTTTTATTCTTTATATATAATATATATATATATATATATATATATATATATATATATATATATGATTTGTAATTTTTAAATTAATACTAAACATAAAATTCAATTAAAAATAAAAAGCATTTCATTAATTAAAATAAAAATTACATTAAACCTAATATTTAAATAAGTAGAAAATTAAAAAAAAAAATACGCAAACAAAAAATCAAACAACCCACAACATAGAAAACATAATTAATATCTTAATTTAAAAAAAAAAACAAAATACGTCACTCAGAATCATCGACCTCACCATCTCCATCATTCTCCCAAGCGTCACTCTCGTCATCAGAATTCGCTCTCAACGAACATATCAGAATCCTCATCTGATTCTCAAACAAATCATCGTGAGAAAACTCTATTGGCGGCTAAATATGAGTCATATAAACGTGTGCCACTAAATCAGCACAAAGTGCATGACGAGTATCGTAATTGTGTACTTCTCTTCTATTTGCCCTATACTCTTGTGTACCAATGGCTACTCCTTCGAGATTTGATAAAAATTCATTTCCTTTGTACCGACATATAGTTCTTCCTTCGTCTTCAAGAATCATATTATGCAATATGACACATGCATACATTACATGTTGTAACCTTTTCACTTCATATAACCTTGCCCCGACTCCTAGTACTTGCCAACGTCTCTTAAGTACACCAAATTTTCGCTCCACATCCTTCCTAGCTGACTCTTGTGCCTCTTTAAACTTTTTCCTTTTCGGGTCATTAGGATATGTAAACGATTTTACAAAAACAGACAAGGGAGGATATATATCGTCTGTACTATAGTATCCACGCTTATATGCTACCTTTGCTTGAAAAGGTTTATCGTGCGACTTTCCAAAGTAGATATCGTTGAATACCGGTGACTGGTCCAGAACATTGATGTTATTGTTTGCACTAGTTGGACCAAAGAATGCATTCCATACCCAAAGGTCATGTGTTGCGATAGCCTCTAGAACAATCGTCAGCTCTTGTCAACACTTCAGGAGGCTTCAAGAATTATGAACAGGTTAGATGGTTTGTACTATCCACCTTTTCCACATTAGGCGTACTGAAATCTCCACCATCATTCTTTTTACCAACATAAACTACCAATCCTCTAACCAGAGAGATTCCACCTTCATTACTACCATCAGCCTCTCCTTTGTTACTATCAACATCAAAACCATGCTTTTTCTCTTTCATTCCTTCATTTTCTGCATTCTTTACTTTGTTGCACAATTCTTTGTTTTTTTTCGTACCACTCCTTCAACATCAAACTGTTTCGTAATTTTTCCATTCCATCTTTCAAAGTCATTTGAATATTCTTCTTTTCGGACAAGATTATTCCATAACTATGCTCGATAACAGCCACATAAGCCTAAAAATTATATAAAAAGTTATACGTAGTTAAATTCAAATAGAATTAATGTTCTTCATAATAATTGTTTCACTTATTTTACGCTTTTACCTAAATAGTTCAACTTATGGGTACTAAAATTCTGATAAAATGTACCACTTTTTTTCATTTGAACTTTACATCTTACCTCCTCATCCCCATAGTCGTTCTTAAGCCCATCCAACATTTCAGCTTCATCCATCATTTCATCATCAACTTCAACATTTTCAAAGTTTTTATGTAGTTGCCTTCCAAACCCTCCAACACTAATCTCCAACTTCTCAATTTTTTGAAGAACATCACCCGTAACATGTTTGACAAACGGTAAACTTTTCATTACCTTGACGCCTGAGAAGTTTGTGTTATACACATACACCAGCTAAATAAAAAAACACTTATTAATTCAATATACATATTTCAATATAAATTAAAGTATAAATCAACTCAAGACAAGAAGATTACCGTCAACACGAGTAAAGGTCCGCTGTAATAACATGTCTTATCATCCTTTCTCCACAACTGTTTTCTGCTAACCAAACAATTTAGAATATACTTACACCAATATATCTTCGAGAAGTATTTTACCAACACTAACGTAATAACAACATTTATTTGATTTTTACCACTCAAAGTTGATTCCACAAATGTGTTAATGAAAAGGGTAAGGAAATTCAGCATAAACATAAGATTGTCTTGCTTTGTATTTTTGTATCCTTTTCAGGTATTCTTCACTATTAAACCCTTTTTTCTCGTATTGATTTTTCCATTCTTGAAGAATTACATTATCTTTCTCATAACTATCCATGTTCAAGAAGTCTTTCCCATCATTTGGTAACCCCAACATGTTATGCACTGTCTTTTTTGTAATTGTGATCACATTATTCTTTAGAACTAGACGGTTACTCTGTGGGTCATAGTGATCTAAGAGATAGTAGTTAAGTAACCTCGGAGTAGTGTCCATGTCAATATTCATAAGTGAAACAAAACCCATAGACAAAATTCCATATATCTGTGTAAGGGACATTAATTTCACAGATGCACTAACCCTTCTAGGAGTCATCCTAGTTGCAAGTCTTCTTATACCTACTGGCTGCTCCTGACTTACTTTTCTAACCTTGCCCTCCATCTTTTTAATATTCGCATTCCCATGTTCTACTTTTCCCTTCTTTCTCTTGGGAGATTTTGTTGAATGTGGTTCATGCACTGCCTTCTTTCTGTTACCAACATCTTCCTTTTCTTCCATATCCATACCAATGTCTACCTTTTCATTGTATCTCTTTGACCCACTCATACTCTCCACAAGTAATTCATTCAAACTTCTTGGTTTTTTTCTATCAGCCCTTGCTTCTACTAAATCCTTATTATCCTTATTAGGTGTTGTTCTGGCAGAATCCTTCCTTTTCACCCTTCTTACACTTGTACTATATGTATGTAACGTCTCCTGTTTATCTTTGTTGTCAACTGTTGAATCACATAAACATAATTAGTCATGCCCTACTCATTGGCACTATACAAACATTATTTAATAACCCATTAAGACTCATTTAAAAATATAATAATTTTTTTATAAATAAGTATGTTATAATATTTAATTTTATACCAATTATACTACACTTATATTGTATACAATTACATGTTCTAATAGAACTAGTATACAACTTTTAATTTTACACTAGTTATATCAGAATTATATATTATAAAACAGTATTTAAAAACACTTAGTACTACTATTTACATTGATTATTAAAGAATACCATTTAAACTTACTTTTATACTAGTTATATAAGAATTATATATTATAATCCTATATTATACAATTAAAAGTTTTGCTGGAGCACATAAGAAAATAAACCAAAGTAAAAAATTACCTGAATTTCCAGACTCTACATTCTTCTTTCCATGTTCTGATCTAGAAGATTTTTCATGTTGTCCTTTGTTTTACTTGATCCAACAATACTTATATGAATCGGTTCACATTCAACATCAACTGCTTAACAAAGTAAGAAGAGATACATATTATTAAAGAATTCTGTTAGAATGATATAAATAATTCTTTTAGAATAATACCATTTACATTAATTACTAGATAACACCTTATATTACTTTTATAAAATATTCTAAAAAAACTGTTATTATTTTTCATAAACCAAAAATTGAAAACTGCTGGTAGGTGGAGAAATGATATTATCTTCACGGGTGTTGATCTGGTAGAAGACTTCCTTTTCACATATTTTTGGCTTGTAGTATCAACATTAATTATCTCCTCTGCAGGTTCTGCAACAACTAATGAATCAAATTATTACAATTAATTAGTAACATTTTCCAAAATAACCATCCATACTTCAATATCTGGAACCGCATTCTATACTTCTTTATGTTGTCATTCTAAATGATTACAATACATGGTCATAGACAATTCTTATAGAATTCCCCACATAGTAATTACCAATAAAGGGAAACCCCCAAAAACACAGTAATAAAACATAAAAAAATCTAACTCAATTATACTAAAAAATACAAAACAAATCAATAATCTCATCCCCTATACTAACAGAACAACAACCACAAACAAGATTTTGCATTATTTTAATATGACAGAATTCGTTACATGGTCATACACAAAATTCTAAGAGAAATCCCCAAATACTAATTACCAATAAAGGGAAACCCCAAAAAACTTAGTAACAAAAAAACTAACTCGTGTATATTAAAAAAATACAAAACAAATCAACAATCTAATCCCATATACTCACAGAACAACAACCACATACAAGCTTATGCATGTTTTGATTCTGACAGAATGCAATTTATGTATAATCCCATATTCTACCAGAATTGAAAATCGAATCATTTTATCAGAATGAAAAACATAATAAAAAAAACATACTCTATATTCTTGAAAAACACATAACAGAACAACAATACCACCCCCTATTATTACAGAAAAAACATTAATATACCATAATATTCAAACATTCTCACATATTTTCATGTCGTATTTGAGAAAACCCTAATTAAAAAAATACGCCTTTTTGCATTGTTTTGGTCTACTATACTTAATAAATTTCAAAAACACATGCAAATATTACATTGTTCAAACATTCAAACAGAATGTTATGGATTCAACCAAAAAATAAAAAAAAAATTACCTTTAGGGAACAAACGAAATCAACATCATCATCTTCATCTAGATTCAACACCGTTTCTTTTGTGTTTTTAAATTTCGATTAGAAAGAAGTCAACCTTGTCTCCTCATTATACTCCACTCTTTCTTCTTTGAACTATCACAATGCAACTTCTGTAAACAACTCTTCAAGCTTCGATGAGTATATACAACAACGACAACATAATCTACCAATTTTATAGTTGATTCTAGTAATTATTCTTTGATTTTGTGTCCCGATAAAAAAGGAGTCGAATACGGGGTTATGCGTTGTTATAGGGATTATGCGGGCAGTTTTGATCAATCGAGTCTATTTCCTTTTTCAATAGAGACGAGAAATGTACAAAAATACCCTTATTCATCCGTTTTCATTAAATGTGATTCATTTTTCATTTTTTTTATATGAATTTAAATTTATTCATTTTGTATTAAAAATTAAAATTTTGATTGGCCTACATTTAGTGTGACAACCCAAAATTTCTATCTTGTAAAGTCAATCAGTTCAATTGTAATTCAAACTCGTTTCTGATATCTTTTGGCTTTGTTAAGGGTCTGTTTGAGCGTTCTAAGCCTAGTACATTCAAGGTTTGTGTGTTAGGATGTGTTAACTAAAGTTCTATGAATTGCAATTAGTCGGAAACTCCATCAAAAGGAATTCATGGCCGCAAACTAGGGTTTACGGCCGTAAACCCATGTTGGCCATGAACCCGTCCCTTATGAATGAAGTTCCTTCATATTTCCTTCATTCCTCACATCCTCAAGTTAAGAACACTCAATTCTCTCTCAAGTATCATCAAGAACACTTCCATTTCTCTTCAAAGTGGTAAGTATTCCTTTCATTGTTTGTTTATATCTTTCACATTCAAGTGAAACCCTTGATTCCATCCATGAATCCAACTCTTTTGACTTAGATCTTCAAATCTTCATACATTTCACCAAGAACACACACTTGTTCTTGGTGGTCATGAACCCCCAAAGGCTCCCCAAATTGTGAGTATCTCTTTTATCATCATGTATCCATTAGAAACACTTACTTTCTAGCCTGGAATCAAACATATTGTTCATGATTTTCAAGAGTTTACGGTCGTAAACCCTTCATGGTGGCCGTAAACCATTCATAAACCAAGCTTTGACTGTGAACACTTCAAGTGTTCTTGGCCGTAAAGACACCCAGGGCCGCAAACACTCATAAGTGTGGTCGTGAACTCCCTTTTGTCAATCATATGTGATTAATACACTCTGTTATGAGTGATTCCTAGTTCCTAAGGGTGTTTTCCATACATAATTAGTTGTTATGTGCACTAATTGTGCACATATATGTGTTATTATATGTTTATTAGGATCTGTTTGTGCTCGGAATTTCGCTGAGCATACTAAGCATCTTATACCAATTCTTCTTTCGTAGCACTCACTACAGGTGAGTTCATACCCCTACAATCAACCTTTTTCATGTTTTAAATGCTTTTAAGGGGGGGGGGTACAGGTTGAAAAATAATAGAATTGTGTTTAGTTTTACATTCGAATTCTTGCAAACATAATAACTTTACTATTTTCAAACACTGTTAAACGTCATTTTCAAAACTCCTTATTTTTAAAAACTACTTATAAAACATTTTTACTTTCAAAATCATATTTATATAGATATTTAAGTATAAATATGCTTTAAAGGACTTAGAGCTAATGTTAACAACCTTGACTCCTGTTCCTTGTTTGGTTGTGAGCTTAGGGTAGGATTCACTAGTCCGACTATCGATTAAGTTATACTTATACATACTAAATGCTTATATGGATATTAAACCTCATTTTCAAGGATATACTTAACTTAATCATTTATGATTAACAAGTGAGTCTTTCAACAAGTCAGTTATACAACAACCATGCTAGTAAACTATAGTATGTATAACTTAGAGAATTTCTATTTAATCTTCTCGCACAATGAAAATTACATGAGTCAGTCCATAACAAGAGTCAGATCATTCATACTATAACAAGAACAAAAAGGAACATATATATTTACAAAATGAACATTAACACTATAAGTAGAACCATATAACAATAATGTGCAATAATATTTCATGGCACATCAATACACTTACTCTGTCACGTTTTTGTAACTAGAGTCACCTGGAAGGAGAGCGTGAGTTTGTGTATAGATCTATACATGATTGACCATCCCACACCTCGCTGCTAGCTATAGTGGCATCTGCAGGTCCACGGTGAACAAATGTCATACCTTTTCGATGTCTAAAAAATGTTGTGTACTTACACTAGGTCGATCAAGCATGGTTATAACCTTATCACATTTTCATCTAAATTTACCAACCTAGTTATAAGATGGTAAACTAATATTTGAGTATCATCCGTTAGTACACACATTTTATTTACATTACTATAAGAGAACAAACAACAAACGGTACAGTTTTGATAGAAGAATACATTTTCATTACAAGCAGAAAATATAGGATTTTCTGGGAAAACAAACAAACCTTATTATGATACAACCATAAACCATTTCATGAAGTAAATACAACATAATGAAACTAAAATGCTTATGAACTCACTAGCTTAAATGCTGATCTACTCTTTCAGAATAACTAGTATCCTCAGGTCAACAGTAGACAGGTATAGATGGCCAGGTTTTGTGAAGGCGGAGCTTATTCAAGACTCGTCTTATTCTTTTGATACACATTCATTTTTTTGGTGTTAGTTAAACTTTAAAAAGAACACACTTGTATTAACTATACTATTTAATTTAATGGATGTTGTTGCTTAATTTACTATATTGCATTGTTATGATATTGTACATGACGTCCTCCACCCCAGAACGTTTCCGTTGTTCCAGTTTTGGGGTGTGACATACTGGTATCAGAGCATTGTTTATAGCGAATAAAGTATATCAACCCATAAAAGATATATAACTAAAAATACAATGGGATTAAAACACGTTGACCAAGAGTTATACTTCTAAAAATATATACAAGTATTTTTACTAAAAGCATACATACATGCATTCATACTTGGGACAATACCATACTAGAACAGAACAAAAGTATTTCGATTGATGAACAGCACAAGTAGGCTTGGGGTGTATGGTAAGTTTTGGGAATGACATAGTATGATCAACTATG